AATATTTCTATTCTGAGGTACATTGGAAACAGCAAGAAATTCTTGAGGCAAATATTTTTTATTTGATAAAAGGACAAGTACATGTTTAAACCATGCTTTACTAAAATACCCAAAAAAATTAAAAGCAAGTGTCTGAAATAAGACAATGTAACTGATAAGTCTTCTAAATTCATATTAGCACATGAACTTAATCACAAACAGCATAAAAAAGGAGAAAACCCCACCGGGGCTCAGCTAATCTTTAGAATGTGAGATTCTTTAGGTGTGAGATATATATATAAAATTGTAAGATTATTATATTTGCTGATTCTTATTTACAAAGGTGATTGTTAGCTACTTTAAGCTATGAAATGCGTTTTACCAAAGCCAATCTTCCTCTCAAAATGTTCATAGTAGATCAATGTATGGTATTACAGCCTGTTGTCAAATTAACTTTGAACTCTTTTCACATGTACGTAGTTATATGCTACAGTAAAACAGTTAATTACTTAATAAATGTTACAATTGCATACAACCTCTATGACCAGCAACCCAGAAACATTTAAAAAGCTTTCACCTTCAATCCATTAGACATTACACCACTCTCCTATTTTTAAATACAGGTTCAATAAACAGTTTATGTGCCTATGCCTACATCAATGCTAGGAACTATCAGATGCAAGAATACAAGCACAGCTCAAAACAGGCAATGCACGTTGCCTGCAATTTAATACTTCTAGTAATATAAGCGCATACTCCAAATATTATAAGTATTATTTAGTTTTCCTTGGAATAAGCATGCATTTATGCAAGGAAAAAAAGCCGAATTTACTGTACCATATCTCTTGTGAACAGATGCGTCTATATTAATATACATCATTGATTTAATTTTTCGTTTTCTTGGCTTCTTGCTCACCTATCTAGAAGTGATTTCTCTGGTGATAACTAACACATCATGCTAATGAGAGAATCTAATGTACAATAGAGAAATGTCACTACTAATAATATTTGCATGAAGTTAAATAAAGCAACTGTAAGAGAATGTCAGACAGTTGTTCTTTAATAAGATACAGTTACACAATGAAATTATGTTGTTAATTTTGTTACATCATTGAGTGAATCCTAAATTACAATATAATGATGCACAGATCCATTTATAATTCTGTATACTGCTTTTTCACTCTCATGTTGAAAATAGCTTCTGGAAAGGCTATTACCTTTTTATCTGAAATGGATTAAGCATACTTTTTTCTCAACAAAAAGGTGGATGGTTCTGGCATTTTGTGTCACTGTGGGTTACAGCCATTTCTCTTACAGTGTCATTTCTGAAATGACTTTTAAGTATTTCAGAACATTACAGCCCTTAAGGTAAGTGGATGAAGAAAAATGGCATTTCTTATTCTGACCAATGCACAAAACATTTATGAAAGCAGACAATCACAAAAGCCTGTTTTTTCTTTTTTTAATCAATCAAGCCCAGACCTTCTTTTCTGTTGTTAACAACTCCTTGCCAGAACTAGAATGGGCAGTGCGTGCCCTGGACCTAACCAGACAAGCATGGAAAAGAAGCCAAGGGTTTCTGCTCATTCTCGACCTGTCACTGATCAAAGTGACCCAAAGAAGCACTCCTTTTTAAAAGTTAAGATTTACGCCCTTTGAGGTTATCAGACATCCTTCTGTATACAGAAGGGATGACCCCTTTCAAGCAAATCACAGACTTTTACACTGACAAAAGGTACATAGGCAAAACAATGCAGTCAAGTGGCCATGTCATAAACTTCTCACAGGTAATTTAGGATAGTATTCCTTTTCCCCTCTCACCCCACCAAAATCTAAATTTGCTCTGGAATGTGGACATACCATTTTTTATGCTTTCATTTGCGAACGAAAATAGTCCAAAAGTAAGTACCATCACACTTGTTTTTAATAGCCCAAACTTGTACAATCAATCCTAATTTTTCTAAGATACATATCACAATGAAGTTGATTTTATTCTGAAGAAAGTTATTCACTCCTATATAATGAAAATAGTAATGCAGTGTGAGTTGCGAGGTAAGAGGAGGGAGGGATTAAAAGGTTTTGTTTTATTCTAAATAAATCTTCTTGTTCTGCTTCAATTTTTCCACTAAAAACCTGCTTGAGATTAAGTTACAGTTCCAAGGAAAAGTAATGGTGCTCAGAGTTTGTTTGCTTCTAAAAATATGTGGAAAAGCAGCATTAGACTTAGAAATTTTAAAGACAAATGTCCCTAGCATTACTGTGTATAGCTGGAAAAGTTTCACTAAACAGTTCTTTCAAACCATGCCAAACTTTGCTTGCAACTTATGCACATTTCATAACTTCATGTTATTTGTACTCGTGAAAACAATTTTTGTCAAAGCATAGGAAAAGGTGAAAAAATACTTACATTTCCAGAAGATGGACTGAAAATAATTGACTAGCAAATGAATGAAAATAGATAATAGAAAACAATATTCAAAATTTTAGTGATTTACAAAGAAACACTGGCAGTTAGACACAAATTTGCAACTGCACTTGCACACTGTATGTGCAAGACAGCAAGTTACAACAGTCCCAACAAATCAGAAATTTAAGGCAAAAATGCTATCATTAAAGAGGGGAGAAATGCATTTAGCAAAATAATTTACTCTCCTTTTAAAAGCATGATGAAAGCATATTTGCACTGGATCTGTTTAGTACATGATAAACAAACAAACAAAATGTGACAGGAGATTAACAAGTATACAAACGTGTCACAAGCAGACTTTTAAGAAATAAATCTGTTCGATGTTACCACCTTTTCAGTGCTACTGTGTATGTATGCCAATTCATACTGATGCAGCATCCACCACACATTTAGTCACTTAGTACATTACTTCTCACTTTCTACACGGAATATATGAGCATTCATGTTCAATAATGTACAAAATCCAGTTAATACTCAAGAATTAGTACATAAAAATATTACTTAAAAAGAAAAATGGCAACCAAATAGCCTAGCTTGAGTGCATACATGTTTGGTCTGGTTTAATAAGCTAGTTGTCTCAAATTATTTTACCCTCTTACACATTGTGATGCTCTTCTATTTACTTTTGTTTCCTTTCTTTGTCAGTGCTGAACATTTTCTGGTATTTAAAAGACCACACAGTCTAAATCTGTTGAAAAAGATCTAATACTAAATAGGCAATCTAGTGCTATCTATGTGGTTCAATCATCATTTATCAATTGATTGTTATCTGGATCTAGTTATGTTAACTCTTTTGTGGCTGAAATGTAAAGAACCTATCCTCCACCCCTAAAACTTAATCCGACTTCTTGCTAAAAGAATACAGCAGGTAATTAGGATAACTGCTCTCCATGCCATTGCCTAATATCAGTGAAACCAAACATGTTATGTATCACAGACAGGCACAGAGCTGATAATGTTTGTAAGCAGTGCGGTAGCAATTCACACTTCCTAGTGCCAAGCAGTGTTTTTGAAATGTGCATCTCTACCAGGAAATGAACTTTCTTACTTTCAAGAATGGGAATTTGAACAGAGTTGCTTATTTGCCTTACGTTGATTACATTCTATAGCAGCATACTGTATCAGCAGTAATCAGGGTCCCTCTACAGGATATATCAAAATATTCCTTATTCAAATGCCTTCATCCTGTCCTGAGCTATACTGCTTAAATGGTCACCCACAGACAACCGCTATTGGTTAAAAACTATCTGCTTTGCAGTTTTTCTTGGATTTAAAGGGGTTTTTTTAAATATTAAAATATTGTTTTATGGTCAGTATTCAGGCATGCTTTCTTCCTTTAAACTAGAAAAAACTATTTACTTTCCCTCTCTTTTCTTACTGTGCAACGCCTCTCAGGTAAATTAATTAATTCAATTTTGTATCCAGCATTAAAAGAAAGTCAAATATTACTACAAAAATGTATTAACTCCTCTTCTGGCTAACACAATATTTCAATTATTATCCATCAGCGTCAGACCATAATTGGAAACTAGTTTTCAGAAGGGCAAAACATCTCCTGGTAGGGAGTCACCCTGTTAAAAACCTCCAGGTTGAACTTCCCTCCCCTGCTTGAGCCCCATCCAAGCTGAAAGTTTGTCCCTCTCTTTTTTTCTTTTTTTTTCTCTCCTTTTTTTCTCCCCCTTTTTTTTAATCCCTTTTCCCTTCCCCTTCACCCAGAAGAGCCAAGCAATTGTGCAAAATTTACTGTAACACACAAGGCGCGTATCACCAAGTGCATGGTACAGAGACACTGGCTCCTGTGATTAATTATCAGTTATAACTGGCCTTGCAGTAACATTTTCGCTTTCCCGTCAGAACCGGCATACCAAGCTGCCTTAAACGCGGCCCCCGGTGAAGGAGCAGCTCTGGGGAGGACGCCAAGGCTCAGCTCCGCAGAGAGAGGGGGAGCGAGAGAGGGAGCAAGCGGGGAGAGGGAGCGGGAGAGGAGAGACCCGAGCACTGAAACTGTCTCCTCTAACGACCCTCAGCTCCGTGCTGGCAGCAGCTCCAGCAGGACAGCTCGTCGCTCCTTCCCCCTGAATAAAACTGTGTTCTGCCACATGAAGTCAATTATGCCGTTCTGAGGGGCCCCCTAAATTTAGTATCAGTTTGATTTTGGGGGCTTATGCACTCAGGAAGAAAAAGGAGTTTTCCTGGGATAGCAGATACTTTTATTTATGGGACGGGGGGATAGCAAAGGGGAAAATGCTGGAACAAAACAAAAGCAAAGAAAGAAAGAAAAACAATCTTACTCAGAGCAAAGCTCCATTTGGAAACTTTAAAACAAATGCTCTGCTTTTACTTAAGGCTTTAATATTTTTTTCTTCTTTTAAAAAGGAGCCCTTAGGGAAGAAATGAAGTAACCATGCACATTCCAATGACATAGTTATGACAGTTCAGAGGCTAACTATGTAGTGATGAATGAAACAAAAATGAAACGTGGAAAGAAAGAGAAAAAGGAGGGAGGAGAAAAGCACAAAAATTCCATGTTTTAAAATAAACGAAAGTAACGTAC